TCTCGTTCTTCGTTTGATATTTTGGTATTGCAGGAATAGTGACAATGGCAATCAAGATCTTTTACAAAACGTGCTCGCTTGTCTCTTCCCTTTTGGGTCCTATATTCTGCACCTTCCATTCTTTTTTTTTCTTTCTTTATTTCTTGCCCATTCTTCTGGATTTCGCGACCTTTTTCTTTTAAATTCCTTATTTACTTTAATGTGTGTTTCCACTTCCATAGATTCTTTCTGGTTAATTTTTTTGTTATCTACTTCACTCTCGGTTTCAGAAGATTCTCTGTTTGATTCGTTTGGTTGATAATTTTCATCATTGTCATCACTGACATCTTCCCAATCATTATCGGCCAAATCGTAATAATTACGCATAGGTGTGGCTCTTGGCAAGGAGATTGAAGCTGAGGACGTTGAAGCGCCAAACTGGAAATCTTCTAAATCCAAACTTTTGTAGATGCTTTAATAGAGGGGCTTAATTTCGGCATATTTTCTTCAAAACCATTATTCATCTATGAAAAGAAAAATCATAATTATATTCAGTTCTAATAAAAAAATACACAACGAATCAATTAAAACTATCTAATTTTTTTTAATATTCCCCGATATTTCCTATTAACGCCTATTTCTACTATGCGTAAAAAAAATTAATTTGAAACTAAAATTCAATACAAAAAAACAAAACGTGTTCATTTACAATAAAAAAATGTTTGAAAATAAATATCCTGAAATTATTTTTTTGCCTCTTTCCTGTGGCGATATATCGACCAAAGTCATTTTAAAGCTTTGTTTAAAAAAAATAATTGCAACATTATAATAATTTACTAAAACATAGGCATTCTTTTAAGCTTCAAAACACGTATCAAATTTAAAAAATATGTTTAATATTTTTTCTGTTGATCTAATCTTAAAATCTAACAATAAATCCAAATAAAAACAACCTTTATATTTTTTTTCAAAATATATATCTTCTGCAACTCCTGGCAACACTTTAATAACTTTGTAATCAAATAGTAAGGTTATGTTAACAAGGAGAATACACTTTTTTACAATGATTAAATAATAAAACATTATTTAAGATAATAATATTGCTTACCTGTACATTGGTACATATATTTTTTTTCACAGCCAGCAAGGCAATTTTCTTTCCTCTCGTTAAATTATCCATGTTATTATAAAGTAAATAAACTGACCTGTATCACTTTTCAAGAAACAACTAACTGACTTAAATGTTGTAAACAACGGTCGGTAAAAATGAACGGATTGTGGGTTAGAACTTTTCACAATTCGTCATTTTCCTGAACTGGCGTAAAATACTTGGGAGTGAATGGTTCTATTTGACATAGAACTATTCACTTTATCCAGTTGTGGGATAAGCCCAATAGCAAGTTTGTCAAAAATGTGTATTCTTACTAATGTAATTGATAGAACCTTTCACAAATGATAAATTAATCTATGGTTATATCAAAAATGGCCCTAACTCAATTTTTGAATTTTTGTGGGTTAGGACTTTTCACAACTACGACGACGAAATACCCAAGCTACAAACCTCAAGAGATGGGTGATGTGTTTTACAACTGTTATCAATTAATTGATTGTTTAACATACAATTTAAGCGTTTAAAATGAATATGTTACGTACCAAGCTGGAAATTGTACAATTCGCGCACCGTACAGTGATTTTTGTACCGAGCGCGAAGTGTATAGACTACTTTGTACGAAGTGTGATTTACCGGACTTGATATTACAAGTTTTGTACTGTTCGGGTTCTGTACAAATTATATGTACCGAACTGTTAATTTCAATCTTTCAGCCAACTTGGTACAGCAGTTATTGTACAAAGCACGAATGAGGAGTCGCCTGACTATCTGAAGGCATTTTATTATTATTATACACTCACTATCTCAGCCAATTGGCTGGATAAAATTCACCCACCCCGGATACAGAGTATCAAGGGGTTGGGCTCAGTCGTTACACCTGTAAAAATTTTCTTACCGTGCGGCAAGTGTTCAGAATGACCGCTTTCTGGAGGTCGATATAGGTATTCTTATGAAGTCCCAGTTTCGCTAGGCTTGTTTCTAGTGATTTCGGTACAATGCCTGTGGATGATAGTATAACTGGGACTATCGCGACCTTGTTTACATGCCACATCTGTCGGATCTCAAAAGCGAGGTCTGTATATTTACTTATCTTCTCCTGATACTTACTTAAGATGTTGTTGTTATTTGGTATGGCGATGTCTATCAGAAGGACCGAGTTGATTCCTTTATCCACCACCACTATATCAGGCCTGTTATTCGTCACCTGTCTATCGGTGATAATAGGCCTGTCGTAGTAGATTCTAAAGTGGTCATTCTCGAGTACCTTCTGCGGTTGATACTTGTAATATGGAGTATAAGTATTAATAAGTCCAAGCTTGTTGGCTAACTTTTGATGGATAATATTGCAGACCTGATTATGTCGATGGAGGTAATCAGTATTTGCCAACAAGCTGCACCCAGATGTTATGTGCTGAATTGTTTCCGACACTTGATGGCATTTTCTGCATTTGTCCGTTTTGGTGTTTGGATCTCTAATAATGTACTTTTTATAATTGTATTAACCACTTGATCTTGTATAGCACTCATGAAACCCTCGGTCTCAGGGAAGAGCTCGCCTCTAGTGAGCCACTTATTAGATGCCTCCTTGTCAATGTGAGGCTGATTAAGGTCATAGTAGTGTCGACCATGCAGCTCTTTCTGAGACCATTCTTCTTTCTTGATGGCGTCGGAAATCTCTTTGAACACTACTTCAGCCGAGGCAAGATTAAGAGCCGAATAGTTCTTGTCTGCCTTCACAATGGTATTGTGAACGTTTGATGTTCGGGCTTTCTTGTAGAAAAACTCTCGTAAATTACTAACCTGACGAGAGTGCAGGTTAATAATATCAACCAGACCTCGTCCTCCATCTTTCCTCGACAAAGTTGTTCGAAGTGTTGATGATTTTGGGTGATGACAATTATGTTTGGTCATCATAGTACGTGTCAGTCTTTGAATTTCATCTAAATCAGTTCTTGTCCATTTGAGGATTCCGAATTAGTACGTCAGTATAGGCGTTGCGTAGGTGTTAATTGCCTGGAGTAAATTGCCAGAGTTTAGTTCGGTTTTAAGTAAGGAGCTTACCCGTTTTGTAAATTGGTCCTTAATCCTGGCTTTGGCTTGGTTCTCCTCGAGCATTCTGGCTTGTTGAAATCCCAAGTATTTGTATGTCTCACCGTTCTCCATGGCCTGTATAATGTCACCATTTGGGAGCTGAACATCGCCACCCATTATGGCACCCTTCTCGATATTTAAGGTTTTACATTTGTTTAGGCCAAATTCGCATTTGTTGTTGGTTTGCGGCATAGATTTTTATGTCATCCATATAGAGAAGATGGGAGATAACACAACTGGTGTTTCTGTCAGCCGTAACCTTAAAACCATATTTCGTGGCATTTAGCATGGAAGAGAGCGGGTTCAGAGCGAGGCAAAACCACAATGGGCTTAGAGAGTCGCCCTGGTATATTCCCCTACGAATAGATATTTCGTCTGCTTTTAAATACTTATCCTTTATGTGGAGGTTTAGATTTGTCCTCCAAGTTTGCATTATGGTGGCAAGAAAGGTAGTAATGGTAGGGTGTATTTTATAGATTTCTAAAACTTTCACCAGCCACGAGTGGGGCACACTGTCGAAGGCCTTCTTGTAATCAACAAAGGCGGTGCAGATGTTACGATGGTTTCTCTGTGCCTGCTTAAGTATTACAGAATCTATAATAAGTTGTTCTTTACACCCTTGATGCTCCCTCTTACACCCTTTCTGCTCTTCAGCTAAAACGTTATTTAGTTTGACATTATTATTATTATTATTATTATTACTATTAATATTATTATTGAGCCCCGTAACGACAGAACATGCAGAAAAACTAAAATTGAAAAAATAATAAAAGAAAAATAGATAGTTTTTTTATTTTATTTAAAGTTAACATAATTTAGCTGCACATATATCATTTATTTATTGGTACAGCCCATTGAATTATGGCAGCGAGAATTACACAAAACTCCTTTTTTCCTGCATACACATCTCTTATTCAAACACAAATCCTTGCCCACCAACTATTGATGCCTGTGAATTTGCAGCTCGTAAAGATACTGATGCATCTGCCACTTCTTCGATTTCCAAAAAAGTAGTACTGCATGGTGCAATTTGATTTCGACTGTATAGCTGTGATATAACTCCCTTCTTTGTTCCTATCTTGTAAAAGGTATCATAAGTCACTTCCATAACAACACCTAAAACAAGATAATAAATATAAGAAAAAAAGAAGATAATGCGATTTGAACGAAATTAATATTTTCTACTCCAAACCATACCTATAAGGTTTCTGAGATCACCTTTGCTCCTATCCACATCGGGTACTGGAATTGTTACAGTTGTTCCACATTCCACAAGGGTGGATATTTGGAATCACTCTGTAATTTCATACGTTTTGCTTGCTTCTGTAGTCCACTAACGGCTATCTGTTGATTTTTTTGGATGTTCAAATGCACTTTATTTGAAGGGGTAAGTGGATGAAGGGGCTATGTCACATAAAGTAAGTTTTGAGAAAATCGACTTCAAAGTTTTAACTCTATAACTTTTTATGTATATATATCTATGACCTAATATATTTTAATTTTTATTCCGATAGATACCGTATTTAAACTTTGATTTGTTTTTAAAAAATCCGAGTTTTAAATTAAGGAAACCAATTTTTTTTTTGTACATAATCCCTTCTTCCACTTAAATTTTTTATTTGTTCAATATGTTTATAATGGAAGAAAGGGGTATTCAAACGTAAAACATCAAGGTAAAAAAAGTATATTTAATAATTTTATTCAAAATCGAAATCTTAAGCTACATAACAAGACAGTAACATTGGCCATTAAACTATCAACATATCAAAAGTCAGTCTTCCATACACCTGTTGAAAGTCCAAATTTGGTTTATGATAACCTCTTATTCCCTAAAATTAATCTTCAGCTGCTGCTTCGTGCTCAGTTATAATGTTTCTATAAAACCACTGGTGTTCATCAGGGACAAACTGTAGTTGCTCTTTCAAATTTTCAATTTTTTCTTTGGAAACCACATTTTTCCTATTAGGGTTTCTTACAATAACTATATTATCAATGTGGGGTATTACATTCATCACTTGAGTAACACTGACTTTTTTAAATGGAGTATGATAATCATAACACTCTTTGAACATGTACGATCCATAATGTTCTACTCGAAACCACTTAATACCGTCTCTGAATCTAACTTTTTCCTTAAGAAGATCTTTCTTCCTATTGTACAACTTCATATCTCTTTCTGTGACTCTGAAGTGATTTGACATATCAATGACCAAATTTTTTCTACCAGATTTTGTTATAATATGTCTGTATTGTTCTGGGGTAAAAAGAACTTCGTGATTTCTAAGGTTCTTCTCAATTCTCCCAAAATCACGGTCTGAGTCGAGATACGTATGTCCAACTTCTGGATATTTGTGATCAATTACTTTGAACATATTCTTGTGTACAAAGTACTGGTATAGACAAATTAATAAAAAGTTCTTATTTTGACCACCGCAAGAGTCAGACCATATGATTAAATGATATTTGGAGCGAAGTATTTCATCTGATTCCACCGCTGTCAGTAACGAACAAAATATATCTATACTTCCTTTGGAGCCCTGATTTTCGGTCCATGTACAGAAGATTGACTTACTAACACCTTTAGCTTCAATATGGATTCCAAAATTGTAAACCACATTATCTGATGTCTGGGCCAGCTCTCGGTCAATTTTCATTGATTCGAAAGCTGTATGATAGTTTTCAATATGTTCTTCGTTGGATTTTCCAGCATCACATGTGCTGCACGTGTCGCTTTTAGGTTTAGCGAAAGACAGATTGAATTCATTTACAAATATGCTACGGTATGAGCAGAGTTTGATGCGGAACATCTCAGGTTTATTTTCAATCATACATAGCTCAAGATATAGGGTCAGTGCACCAGTAGTTGACCAGCTAAGACAAATTTTGAAAAAAAAAAAATTGTAAAATTTTTGTTTTAATTTTTTACTAAAAACAAAAATTACCAGATCGTTGGGCAATATCTTTTCTATCAAAAAGTTATATTTAGTTTAATAAAAGTTTTAAATCTCAACTATCAAAAATTATTCAACAAAAATTACAAAAAGCTCCTGTTTTTGACCAAAGATCTTCAGTAGATGACCATATGTGACCCAGTAGTTGACCACTATTATTAAAACAAGAATTTTAAGGAAATGTTTACTTATTACAAATAACTTATGTCTACAAATACAACTGATTTACAAAACATTGTAGGAAAACTTATATTTTATCCTCTGACCTGAACCGCTAATATTTGGTTGTTCCAATTTAGAAATTAGTTGACTGCGGCTTATGATACTAATATCGTTTTCTTTAACTCTATAGGTCGATTTGTCTCCTTCAACAGGGTAGAATCCTTGAACTTCTATTTCATCATATCTAAATATATTTAGAATGGAGCAGACATAAGTATGGGTCATCTTTTTTCCTGGGAAATTCACTAAATAAAAATTTCCTTTTGAAGGCTGGTTGTCATTTTGAATTTTATCTGCAACTATAGCTAGAGTATCACTTTCATTGTCACTAGGTTCAAAATTTGCATCAGATATGTCATCAATGCTGGAACCACTTTCTTCCCATTCTTCATAATCTTCACTATAAGAATCGGCTTTTTTAGATTGTTTACTCATTTTTGTTCTTTTCTTAGAATTCGGCTTTTTATTCTGTGCTTTTTTTGTACTTTCTTCTCGTTTGGACTTGCTCAATATGGCTCTCTCAAGCTTTGCCTTTTCTTTGTCTGCCTAAATTTTTTCTTTTTCTTCGTGAAATTTCAACCACCTTAGAGAAGTTGTTGCATGTGGCAGCCTCTCCTTTTTTGAAACACCTTCTTTTTTCTCAGGTGATTCTTCCGGCCAAAAAATGTGATCAACAAATGAGGCACTAATCTGTCTTGATGATTTAGGACTTGGAACTTCTAGATTAGTATTTTGAAGTCCTCTTGACGTAGACGGTTTAGAAATTACAATATCTCTAACAATATTAATACTTTTTTCTTGTGGGTTTTTGATTAGTTTTTCTTGGTCATTATTATCACAGGTTTCCGTTTCCATAATAGTCGTACTTTGGTTTGTCTCAGTCTCATTGGGTTCGCTAAACTGTCTGTCACTTATATTTGTATCACTCTTAGGTTCTATTTGGTTTTGATCAGTCTATGGTTTCATTCCATCTTCATATATATCTGCAATATCAATAGTATTTATATTTCTATCTTCGTCTATACTAATTTCTTGTATATCTTCTTCTTCGGTAGGGATTTTCTTGCATCTAGTTTTTAATTTTTTCCAAACTTCAAATAATTCCTTGGCTGATTCATCTCCTTCCCATTCGCCCATTTCTTCTAAATTTTTAAATTCTTTTCTTCTTTTAGCTGGGATTACAGACTCAAAGTAAAGAAAATGTGGTACTTCAAACTCAATAGGTTTTATTTTTGTCGATTCATTTTGCTCACCCAAAATTCTTGAACCATCCGCCATACATTTTTTAAAATCGATTGCTTCCACATTAAAGGGAAAGAGGCCACATTTTCGAAAACCGTTTTTGACAGTATCTTGACTAATTTGTTGCATGGCGCTCTCTAATAAGGAAGGAAATGTTGCTTTATTAACAACCTTATTATTATTTTGCCTTTTCCAGTTCAAAACTATATTCTTCCAATTATTTTTTAAGGGGGCAAATAATGACACATCTGCGGGCTGTAAAATATGCGTCGCATTTGGATAAAGAGCAAACAAAAAAATGCCATTTTCTGCACAGAATTTACTTAAATTGTAAGTCAAGTGTGACTTGTGTCCATCGAGAAAGTACAGTACTGGTAACTTTACCCCCTTTCGTTTTAGATAGGGCAAAAGAGTGTTGCACACATAACTGTAAAATGTTTGACTGGTCATCCAACCTGTTTTGGATCTGCCTGAAATGAAAAAAAAATTAAGCATGAAGTTGTTTATAAATAATAACTTTGTAACAGATTGCTTTAGGGTTTGTTATATCAAACAGGAGTTACGTACCTATTACCCAATCAGGATTTGTGCCGCGGACGATCTCGGATAGACGACCATCGGTGGATATAATTCGCCATTAGCAGAAATCGTAAATAGAACCGTTATGTTATCTTTTTCGGAACCCGATTTAATTTCATAAAAGTTCTTCATCCCTCTAGGTCCTAACACGAGCCCCGTTTTCGGGTTCGTTGCAAAGCCAGATTCGTCAGAATTTAAGATCCTTGAAGGATCCTCCAGGATATCGACAGCATTTTCGCTTATTAAGTATGAGCGAATTTCTTCATGCCATCTTCTGATTGCATCTTCAGTTACACTAGCTCTTGCGTTGTTGATGTTTGCTTGACGTTGGCTAATTTCAGGGTGGCGCCTAAGGAATGCATTAAACTAAGTCCTTCCAGGTAATCCATCTTTAAACGGCGTTGAACGATTATCACTTTTCAATATATCTTGCACTGTCTCGCAAAGTAACCGTTTATTTAGGGGAAAACCTTTCTTGGCGCATGCTGTTATCCAACGAATCAACAACTGTTCCTCTTCTTCCGTTAATATAGAAGAAGGCCCCATCTTTCGTTTAACAAGTGATCTACTTTTCAATTTATTTATTAATGTTGAATGGGGAACATTGTAGTTTCTCTCAGCTTGCCTTATTGAACACAGCTTCTTTTGTACATCTGCAATTGCCTTAGAAAGGTCACTTTCGCTATATTTAAAAAAAGTCTTTTTCTTTTTATTTTCCATTATGCTGAAAGAGTAATCAAAATATCAGTTAATTAAGTGCCTTTTATAGGTTTTTAATTAGTTATAAAACATACTCAAACAGAAATCAGTTGTTGACCACATATTTGAGTTAGTAGTTGACCATTAGATTTTGCTGGTCAACTACTGGAACGAGCCGGAAATTGTACATTTTAAAGAGAGATGCCACACCCTAAACAAATACCCGTTGCTATGGATCCAATAAGGAAAGAAAATAATAACATGTATGCAATATCCAGTAATTGACCACTTTGGTCAGAAACTAGAACCATATTAAACTGTCCGATTTAGTGGTTGACCACCTGTTTTTTAAAACCAAAATGACGGTTTTGAAAAAAAATACTGACAGAATGGTTTAGAATATCTTATTTGCTTTCACTCAAACCAATCAAACTAATATTTTAAACATTCTGATATCCGATGAACATTGATATAAAATGTGGTGTTCTCTTACCTTGCTTACTCTAAAACACACAGAAATACACACAAAATGGCCACTATATTTTTCTTTTAATGCACTACAAAACTTTGTATGAAATAGACAGAGTTCTCTGCGCCACCTATTAGTCAAAGGTCACAGTAATATATTGAGACTATTAAACCGGCCAGCAACTCAACAGGGTCCTTCTTAATCCCATTTTAGGAAGAAATGGTCAACTACTGGGTACTGGTCAACTACTGGTGCACTGACCCTAGATTGTACATTTTGGTCACTGACAGCAGAGGGGAAAGGTACTTTTTATTTATGTTGGAAGTCCTGGAATAATGAGAAAATTCAGCTGGAAAACTAGCAATATGTCCCACTACATAATCTTTTATTTTATTTGGTCTGCTGCAATGATTACCTCTTTTATCGGGACTAGGAGCTGCTGATCCCTCCTTTATTTTATTTTGAACGATTTCATTTTTTTTTTACTGATTTGGTACAATGATATAAATGCTCTTTTGCAAACCAAGGTTTGTTTCTTCTCAAGTGTTAAAAAGTACTGATATGTTGCAGTTTTATGATTAGTTGCACCTTTTCTTTTTCTTCCTGGGGAACTGCTTCTAATACTGTTAAACAATAGGGCATTTTTTCCATTTATGTCCAGTTTGTAAAATGAGAACATAATGTTCTCTCGTTGCTCAATCGTAAATTTGTCAGAGCATTTCAATCGACATTTATCTGGACACAAATTACCCATGGCAACCGATTTTGCAGCAATATCTTCACCTTTGTAGGATTTGTAACTTTGTCCCTTTTCTCTTGATAGGGCAGCTTTACGCTTTACCCATTGCTCCGGTTTTCGTTTTCTCTTTTTGGAAGTTTTAATTTTAGGTGAAAAATATTTCTTTTTCCTTATGTTCGGAGGTATAGGTTGATGGTTTATCTCTGCTGTTTCGTCTAAGCGATGAACATCTTTTTCAATGTCAGGCAAACTTTCAGGAACAATAAATAAATCTTCACTTACTTCATTTGTCCTTTCTAGCTCTTCAGATTCCAAATTATTAGAGTTTATTGATTCACTAAATGAGTCATCAGGTCTATACTCATCACTAGATCCCTCAAAAGGTTCTATGCTATCAGTGTCGCTTAAGTCTGGACCAAGATCTAAAAGAAGCAGAAATGCAACTTTTAACGTATAATATTGTACTTTAATAAAAATCGCAGTGTATGGTTACACAAATGTATGGTTACACAAATATATGGCTAAAAGAAAATATTTTCTTAATTGCTAAAAATGGCAAAATGAAGTCCACTTTTATTTTTAATATAAAAATGGATTAATAAAATAAATAAAACTTAAGAATTTTATGTAACAGTTATCACATCATTAATCATCTTCAAAAATACGTACCTCCAGTGTAGCTTTCATAGATATGTAGATTAGAAGTTGTTGGTCCGTTAATTTGTAGGTTATGGCGGTCAGAACTATTACCATTTCTCGATTCATTTTCGTGTGTATCCCTGTTAGATGATTCTAAAGCCAAACGTAATAACCTTTTGCTTCTAGAGAGCATTTTACAGGGCAAACACAATAACAATAAATAAAACAATATGAAAATTAGCCGCAAACAAGTAAATCAACACACATACCACTGCGTGTTTACTTCACACTGACGTTTACAATTTTGTGGATGAAGGGGTTATGTTACTAGATTCATATCTTTATAAATGGAAGAAGGGGTCATGTGTCACTTGACTCCTTCATCCATCAGATTTTGCGCTTTTAAATGTACATACCCTTTTCATCTTCTGGGATTCTTCATTTTTATAAATATTTCCACTGTATGGACCGTTCTACAGGATAATTCAACACATAACCCCTTCATCCATTATGATAACTCTTAAATAGCAAAAATGTTACATAGCCCCTTCATCCACTCACCCCTTCAATTGTTTGGTACAGAATTGGGATGTGTCATTAAAGTACATTAAACCATTTTTTTAAATTTGTTACTCCATAATCGTAGTCATGTCCGTTGTTAAATTTTTTATTTTTTCGTTTTGTGGTTATCCGTTTTTGTATAAGGGAAACAAATATTTGACATTTATGTTTGTTTCTTGTCATAAACAATATCCAAGCATTTAATTTTAGAAAATTGTCATTTATTTGCGTGTTTTTGAGAAAAGATGCATACTATTATATATTTTTGAAAAGTTAAAAGACAAATTTTAATAGTCTATAAATATACAGGGTGTTTCATTTAAAAATACAAATTTTATAGTCTATAAATATACAGGGTGTACCATTTTCTACGAAAAAATCTATAAGAGTGTTTTTTTACCTTTTTGATAAGTTGAAGGATAACGGAGATACGAGGTGGGCCCCAAAATGCAACATTTTTAAAAATGCCCTGTATCTTAAAAACTAAAAGGGCTATGGAAATTTTGTTAACGGCATCTTTAAGTTTACGAAAAAGTAGCAATGTCGCGAAAACTGCAACCCTCTTTAAAAATAACGGAGATACCCCGCAAAAGTACCCAAACTTCTTTTTTATCTCTACATGTTTCTACAAAAATGTCATCTTGGTATTTAAACTTCTAATATTCCACTGAATTACCTTTAAGACCCTGAATGGAATGTTTTGCTAGCAGATAGAGGAGCAGATGAATTTTGATTTTTTTAAGATACCAATATGATGTTAGAGTTGATGAAGTAGCAGACTTGTTTTCCACCTCATAAACATACTCATCATCGTTATTTTCATTTTGATTACTTATACGAATTGAAGAATTTTGTGGGGATATTCCCCTTTTCGTTAAAATGGTGTTTTTGTTCTAATGTGTTGTTGTAAGTTGGGATAGGTGAAGTTGGCATTCTTACCGAATCGGGGAGAAGGCATTCCTTGTGTGCATTTTGATCGTAACCTATTGGGGGAGTTTTGGAAAGTTTCCGCTTTTTGTTAACGATTTCATTATATGATAAGTACTTAGTTTGAATTCTGGGTGATGATCGGATGTTCTCTAGGACTTCTTCCTAATTTATTTCCTTCCTGGGAAGAGAAGGGAACTGAGATAGATTGTTCTATTGTACTTTCTATCTTGGACTTAAATCTTGTCTTCCTTGCATTTGGGTATTTATTCTAGGCACTTGTTGAGATGCTTCAAAATATGATATATTGTTCAGGCTCTATTATTTCGGCTATTCTTTTTTGTCTTAATATTTCCGGGCATGCTTTAATATTATTCCAATCTGAAATTAAGTGATTGTTATTACAGTATATACATTTTTGCCAAATTACATGAATGATTTTTATTCATGTCATCCCCACAGTTTCCACACCTAGTTTTGTTTTTACATATATTTTTAGAATGGTTGAATCTGTAACAGTTTACACATAGGATTACTGGTCTAATGTAAGCACTGACCTCAAATTTGTTTGCATATATTGAAATGTATTTTGGCATTATTTTCCCTTTAAAGGTGAATATAAACGTACCTGTTGGAATGCAGTTTACTATTTGGTTCTCTGTAACTCTTATGTTTAATCTCCTAGCAGCTACTACCTGGGTGTGTTTGTACTCTTCATTTACTACTCTAACGATTTCTGCTTCTGAGAAGTTACCAACTCCTTTGTATGTTACTAGATTTGCAGGAATAAATACCTGGTATTCGCTGTTTAACCATTCCGTATCACAGAATTCATTAGCTTCTTTGTAGTTGTTGAATGTAATCATAACTCTGTTTCTTCCTTTTTTCTCTATTTTGTTTATTCCTTTTATTTTTTTGTTGAAGAGTAATTTACCTAGTTCCACAGGATGCAGGTTACCCAGATTTTTTTTGTTATTTTGGATTACCACTTTATATGGGCCAATGTCACATTGATCATATTTTATTTTTCTTAGAATTAGTGAATTTGTTTCCGTTTCCATCTTGTTCTGGTCTAAATTTTACAAACAATCCATCAGGAAGAGCCTGATATAATCTTACTTCAGGAAAATCAATGACTAATTTAGAATAAGTAAATATGTATTGTATATTATTGCTGAGGACTAATTGCAGAAAGGGGACATGTCACATTTTAATAATTATTCAGGAAGTTAAAAAAACCTTCTAATTTCTTTAAAAAAAAATATTTGTAATTCAAATTTTGTGGATATAATCTTTAGGATCCTTAGTATAAGTTAGAATAGACTGAAGAATTTTTTGATATTGTGTTTTGGCGCAGGTGCCAAATTTGACTTGTGGACATGTCACCTTTCTGCAGTAAATGAAATCTAACAAGTTATTTATTGGAAAAAAATTTATTTTGGGTTTCTTTTGTTTACAAAATTCCTATTCAAATGTATTTATTGATCTTCTCGATCATTTTCTCCAGTGGGCCATGCAGTAATTTCTTCCCAAAATGCCAAATAAGTGTCCGGAATAAATTTAATAGTGTTCTTTATGTCAGCCATCTTTTTCTCATTAATGGGAAGCTTTTCGGTATAAACTTTTGTTGTAGGGTAGGTTATTGTACGTTTAGTATTCCTCAGTCGGAATGTATCCGATACAAAAGAATTTATAAATTCTCGGCAAACTATTTCTTCAGCAGAAGAAATGGTCATGTGATAAAATGAGGAGATAGTGAACGATTTTTTTTTGCTCCGAGGTACATTTTTTCCATATGATTCGTTACTCAAACAGGTTCTTCTGTAAAAATCTGACCACCAGTTTTTATAATCAAACACTAAATCTCTTGAAACCTCTACAATTGAGAATTTTTGTGGATCCTTTGAAGCCTTCGTGATTATTTCGATATATTCCTGGACTGTATAATATCTTTCATGTTTGTTAAGTTGCCTTTTGATTAAACCGAAGTCACGGTCGCATGGCATAAACGAATGACCTCTCAGAGGAAAGTAAATTTGTATCTCCTCAAATCTTTTAAGTTCCACTAAACTCATTAAAAATCGAACCATTGTGTTATTCTTATTTTGTCCGCAACAGTTGTCACAGAAAATGTGGAGTTTTTTAAATGTATGCTCTTTATCTTGGTCAAAGTAATGCTTTAAAAAGGAACATACATCATTTGCTCCTTTGCCTGCCACTCCTTCATGGTATACATAGCAAGTCATATTTTTTGTTTTTAAATTGTGGATTCCGAAAGTACATACTGTAAGTTGACGGAAATAGTAAAGATCATCCTGCACAGGAATTTGCGGCAATGAAACATTAGCCATATAATCAATGCTAATGGATAGAATATCATCATTTTCTTCACTTAATGTTTTTGTTGAATTTAAGGCTGTATAAAATTTTTTGCTGCGACGTTTATGAATAAGAAGTTCAGCAACTGCTACTCTTTTGGCACCCTCGTTTAAAGTTTCACTTTTAATTTTTGCATTGAGCTCCTCGCAAGTAGGACATGTATCTTTTGCTGGTCTGCCAAATTTCAAATCATAATTTTCTTTAAAATAGGTCCAAAAAAATTTATATGAAATTTTATTATCTGGGTGCTTCTGACTGAACATTTCATACATTAATTTTACTGACAACTTACTGTCCAAGTATCGAACTTCTTTACTTGTATAATGTGAGATTTTCACAGGATAAGATTCAATATGACTACGAATGTTTGCAATGATGTGCCCTGCTATTGCATTTCCACTAACGTTTTTGCCACGCATATCTCGTGGACTTTTATTATTTTTTAATAGGAAAACAAGCCGTTCGCAACGCTTCTTCGATACCCCGTAAATTGATAAGAAAGCATTTTTGCATACTTCAATTCTTTCTTTTTCATTAAGTACAAAGTATTTAACGGTTAAAGACTTTGGTTTGTTTCTGACAGCATTTATTTTTCCCCTTTTTCGAGAAACATTATGTATTTCCAGGAGTCTTTGCAAGTGCAAGTCTTGTTGATCTTTTGAATCCATTTCGTTAAATAATTGAAGCATGTTACATTTTTCGATCTCACGAAAAAGGCTTAAACATTTTTTCCGAGAGCAACTACAAAGAAATAATTTACTATTATACAATTTAATATTGCAAAACGGTAAAACTTACCAGTTATCACCAGCAATGTCTTTGGCCGGGATATTTTTGCCAGCATAATTAGTGTGTTGTAAACCACGTAGTTTTGCCTTTTTAATTATATTTCTCTTATAACATTCACTGTGTATAGAGCCTTTTTTTCTCTTTTTTGGTATTTCCACTTCACTTTCAGAATTTGAACTCATTTTTCCGCGTCTCAATAGCAATAATATAAAATATAAACAACTAAGTTTACAAGGAAAAAGATAGGTTATAATCTACACCTACTGTGAGTTTGCGAATCTGAGTTATTTACCGCAGAAAGGGGACATCTATCGGATAAGTTCCGTTTCTGCAGTAAATGAAAATTTATTCGTTTCACCGCGCCGATACCAATAAAGGTACATATCCCATTTTTACAGTAAAGATGTGTTTTAACTTCTAGATCACAAAAATAGAAAAATGTCAATTTGGGAAAAATATGGATATGTCCCCTTTCTGCAGTTAGCGATTCAAATACAAGTCAGTGTTAATTTGTGGGGATTTCAACTCAAAAACACAACATGGGGCAATCCTAAAAATGATCATAACGGGAACATTCTACATGAGTCCATGACAAATAACAATTTCAATTGTCTAAATGATGGATCAGCTACTAGAATCACTTTATTAGGACAAAATAAAAGTCTCACTGATCTCTCTTTCTGTAATGCAACTATAAACTTAACAGCAAATTGGTCAGTTTTAAAAGAATGTTCAGGGTCGAGTATCACTTTCCTATCAAAATAGAGATAAATTCAACCACAAACTTTCATTATAATAGCAATGTAATTAGCAGCAAATTTAACAAACCAAGATTCAACTTCAAAAAAGCAAATTGGGAAAGATTTTATGAAACATCCTTGGAATTATACAATGAGTCAATACCACAAACATATAATGACAAACATCATATACAGAACATCTGAAAAGTCAATCCCTAAAACTCTATTTACTTTAAAAAAACAAAAAACTCCAGTTGTATGGTGGGAACAAGCTGGCTAACAACAGAATTAAGAAAAACAAGTATAAGAAAATATCTTAATAATCCGTCAGAAATAAATTACATTAACATGAAACAACAGGTAGCCATCACCACCAGGACCTTAACCTTGGCATTCATAATATCCACCCGGGTAGATAATTAGATTTTTATTTGCTTATAACTGAAGTAATTTTCATCAAATCTGAAAATGCTTCCGACTCAGTTATCAATTTTTCGATTTATTGCCGAAAATGCAAAGAAAATATTTTTACCGAAGTTTTTTTTATATATATATATATATATATATATATATATTGTAATGAAAACAAAACAATACCAATTTTACTTTGTCTTTTTTTTTATTGTCTTATTTATTTATTTACCCTGGCTTGCTACTTTTTTTTTTTTTTAATTTAAACCAAATAATTTTTTTTTCTTTTCTCAGGGGTGTTTCTAATTATAATAGTAACACTTCTTTATGTATTCTCTTTTATTTTTATTTTTATTTTATTTTAATTTTATTTGTCAATAATCAAAAAAAATTTTTAAAAAATATTATTTAACTTGCTTTACACTCTATATTTAATAATGAATAAACAAATTTTCAAAAACCAGAAATACAACATTTATTTTAGAAAACATTATTAAATCCTAATCTTTTAAATCAGAAACTGTGAAAACACCCCGCTATTTATATTGACGGGGATTAATAATAAACTATATCACTAAATCTATACTACATTCACTCAATCTTCATTCATACAAAATATACTAAAATTAAACACTACAAAAAAAATTAACAGCTATCAATGTCTTTTCTCACACAAATTAATTATTTCTTGAGATAATCATAATTAGTTTATAAAAAAAAATTACTCACTGTTCATGTTTATCTTGTAATTGTCTATTTTCACAAATATTCTGCTATCTTCGGTTTATCTGTCCTTTCTTGGGTTTCTTTTATACATATCTTTCCGGAACACAAATACGAATGTTTTCCGTATCCATTTTGTATAATATACCTTATTATTTTACTTATGTGCTTGGTTGGATAAATTTGTTTATTCAATATCATATATTATTAGTTTTGCGATACTTTCTCCATATTTTTAAAAATAAAGTATTTCTACCAAAATTTTTTGACATCTCCCTCTTTTCAAATTGACATTCAACAACCCCCCAAACCTAGATACCATCCTTTCTACTCACTTTCACTTAAGACTTTTCTATATCAGTTTTTAGTATACAGGGTTAGTTATTATTATTGATATGGTTATTATTATTAGTTTTTAGTATTATTTGGACATATGATGTTTTCATTACAACTTCCCCTAAATTTATGTTTATTTAATTGTTTGTCTTTAATGAACAATTAATAAACATCAATTTATTTAATCATTCCAATATTATTAATATTTTTAAAATTATCTTTTCAATATTTATTATTACTTTTTTTATATTTTCAATATGATAATTCATCTCTCTTTTCAATATTTATTATTACTTTCTCTTTTGTCTTGTCATTTATCAAAGGTATTTATCTTTATTTTGTCATTTGTTATATATTTTAAATGTTTCTCATCATTCCAAAAATCTGTATATTTGTCTTAAGTACCTGAAATATCCCCCTGATTTAAGTATTTCTAAATTATCTGTGTTGAATTTCCTATATTTCTTTATTTTCTTATTTTGTTTCTGCACATTCTTTCAGCATATTTGTTTATTCTTTCATTCTCTATAGAATTTTTCATTTATTGTAGACATGATCTTTTTTTATTTTTTTTTTTTTACCAGATCATAATTATGTTTATTTTCCATCTTAATTTCTTTTTTCCATTTACTACATTTTCTCATCTTCATTTTCTCAATATTAATTACTTTATTACCGCTTTGTACTTTATTATAATTCACTATACATTATTATACCGCATTATTTTATTATTAAACTACTATATTTCACATTATTTTATTATTATTCCACTTTATTTTTTTATATCACATACACATTTATTCTCCTGCATCTTAAATACTTAACGTTTCTAATCACATAATATTCCTCTTTTTTTTAACTCTTCATATATACAAATATCTTTTTTTATTATTCTTGCTTGTTCTACGTTTTGTTGAAGTATTTCACAAATTGCTGAACATCTCTTACTCATGTCTACATTGTAAAACTTATACTGTTCTTGTATCAATTTATAATTTTTTTTTTTTTTTAATAAATTAAGTAGTTTTATTCCTTTTTTACATCTTCTAACCTTTATTCAAAATTTTATATTGTTTTAAACATGTATTTTATTTAAAACATCCTCATGCAATACAAACTCATAGATTGTCCCCTGAAATACCCTTTACTTTCTACTAAATTATTTTAAAATTTATTTTTTTTTTTAATCTTATCTTATTGTTGTAACTATACAGATTTTTGTTTAGAGAATGCGTGTTTAAAATTCATGATTGTCATTTGTATATGTCATTTTGTCAAGTGATGCTGTTCTTCTCCTGTCATTTTCTTCTTCTTTATCTTCTCTTTCTAAACTTCTCTGTCTTCTTTCTGCATGTTGAAAATTAATTCTTCTATTTCTCTCTTCACTTTCATTATCATTTCTTCTTTCTTGTCTATTATTATTATTAAAATTTGTATTGTTAATCGTTCGACTGTTATTGTTATTAAATCTGTTACTATTATAATTGTATCTGTAATTGTTGTTATAGTTATTGTTATCATTTCTGTTATTATTGTAGTTGTTGTCATTATTGTTATTGTTAAATCTATTGTTTCTATTTGTATTATATCTGTAATTATAATGGTTCTGTTGACTATTATTTTGGTAATTGTTTCTGTTGTTTTGAAGTCTATTATCGTTATTAAAGTTATTGTTATTAGTACTGTTGTTTTGTCTATAATTGTAGTTATTATATTGTGAATTATTATTTCTGTTCAATGTCAAACCTCTTTCAACTCTTAAAAGATAATTAGAAAATTGTTCGAATCTATTTATGTTTTGCAGAGCTATTGTCTCTGCTATCTCTGTTTTAAAATGCCTAGCAATTGACATTATTATTTCATCTTCCCTCATGGGAGGATCAAGAAATTTTGCAACCGTAAACAATTTCAAAGCATAATAATTTAAATTTGAATTTCTAGTATAGTCAAATATCCCAAAGTATAATTTCTCTCTCACTAGAGATTGGGCATTCTCCCCCCAAAAATAATTAAGAAACTTGGTTTTAAATTGCTCATAATTTTGTATTTCAAAAACATTACTGTTATACCATAATAAAGCCTGCCCAGTTAAATTTATACGAACAAATTCTCTAAGTTCTTCCATATCATTTATTAATTTAATTTTGTTGTCTAACATTTGTAAAAATATTTTTGGGTGTAATTTATTAATGTCCCCATCAAATTTTAATAACAATTCACCACTATAACTTGTTATTGTCCTTGTGTTACTTTGATTTGCCAATTCTTGTTTCCATATTTGTCTATCCTTTTCTACTTCACTTTCTACTTTCTTAATCTTTGTATTTAGTGCATTTGTTTCCATATTTATAATCTCTTCTTGCAATCTGAAACCTTCTTTAATATGTTCATCCATATTTTTGAACTTGCTGTCATTTCTTCTCTTTATATCTTCTTCCAATATTTTAATGTCCTTTTGCAATTCTCTTTTCGTCTTTAAATTTTCCTCCTCAGCTATTTTTAAATTTTCTTGTTCACTTTCCTCTATTCTTTTTTCTATTACTTTAATGTTTTTATTGTTAGTCATTACATTCCTTTCAATTCTCTTGATTTCTTTCTCAGTTTGTTCTATCTTTGTTTCTTGTACACTTAATTTTTGGTCCATTATTATTTGTCTATTATCTAGCTCTTGAAATTTGTTCTCCAATTCTTTTTTTATTTCTTGTTTACTATCGTCTATTTTCTTCTCCAATTCCTCCTGATTTTGTTTCATTTTAATTTCCAATTTCTCTTGATTATGTTTAATTTCATTTTCCAATTTCTCTTGATTGTGTTTCATTTCCTCTTTATTATCATCTATCTTTTGTTGTATTAATAACAACATTTTCATTACTGGGTCTTCAATATTTTTCTTTTGTTTTGATTCTGCCTCGGTATTGGTTCTTCTTTCTTCGTTTTCTTCACTACTTTCATTACTTCTTGCATCCATTATT